CACTTGAAAGTGGTGGGAACAGCGCACTTAAAAACATTTAGAGAATAAAGGCAAAATTAAGTTGATTTTTGGAGTTAGAAACTAATCTGTCTATTTTCTATGGTAAATAAATTAATCACCTCAGATTAAAAAGAAGTATACACCAGGTATGGTCTTTTCCAATTACTTTATGATTCTTAAACTATGTTCTGGGGTGGGACAGGAAACTTTTAAAGTTGTGTGACCAATTTATGGCTGCCTCTTGGTATCCATTGACCCCAGGACCCCTGTGAATACAGAAATCTGCAGATGCTTAACTCCCCTTTGCAAAATTGTATAGAATATGCATCTGTGCATCCGTTCATATTCTTAAAGTCACCTCCCATTGACTTATAATGCCCACTCTACCGTAAGTGCCATGTAAACAGTTGTTCTTTCGTATTGAATAGAAACTAATGATCAGAAGGCAGGTTTGCACATTCTGGTCCATGGTTGGTTGGATCCCTAGGTTTGGAACTCACAGATACCAAGTGTTGACTGTGGCACAGTCAATTGGAACAGTGTTTCATTTCTCAGTAGTGTAAGCATTTTAGGTCTTTTACTTAGCTTCCAGCTCTCCTGTTAAGACCCCAGGTAGTTTTTATTAGCTAGAGGACAAGCAGACAGCATTTTGCCATTAGATGTTGACATCCAGAATGATTGCCCTGTTTTGTTGGACTATAATGGCACTCTTCAAGGTGTCGTGTGATGAAGTATACAGGGAGACTGGCATATTGAATAAAAGATGAGGAAATATACTGGCTAAAAGAAGTTTGCTCTTATAATACCTGGCTGGACCTTCCACAAAGGAAAACACATGGCTATAGCATGACTCTCTGCATCACTGTGAAGTGAAAATCTGGTGTGTCTCTGACAGAACATTGGCTCTATGGGGAGGGGAATGTTGGCAAAGGGCTAACATGTAATAGAAGAAATTAAATGCACTTGACAGTAATTGGATGAAGAAAATTCAGGAGATGAGATAGCAACAGAGCACAACAAAATAACACAATTAAGGACACATTAGCCATATGTCTCCAGCACACGGAGAACACAGCAATACGAATGACCAGGTGATGACCTTCACCCCAAACTGGAAAGTAGATGACAAGTCTATGGGGGATTGAAGATTAGAGGCAGAAACTGTGTTAAAAATTAGAGATTAAAGGATAGTAGTAACCGCACCTACGAGCTGATGAGGACTTGGTAAATAAGGGCTGTTTGCAAGACCAGATCCAAATGTGTAGATCTTATAGATTTGGCAAAATTAAAAATAGTTGCTATTAGATCTCAACATGTCTCTTTGTCATGCATATTTTATGTTAGCAAATATTTGTGTGGGAAACAGTCAAATGTATTGTCCCTCCTTGGAAGTGCAAGGACATTTCCATGACCACAGTACCTTATACATATTCTAATCACAGCTTGGATCAGTGCTTCTCTGAGTGCTGGTTTGCATGTCTCTGCCTGACCAGTCTTAGATCTTTTAGGTAGGCACTGTGTACTCAGAATCTAGCATTTTGCCAAGCTCACAGTACTATCCAATAATTAGGGAATGCATGATTGCTTCTGATGTTACCTGTCTTGGACTAGTCCTACATAGGCTGGGACCTATGTGGTTTACATTTATACCCATTAGATTCATATGTGTTCCCAAACTGCCCATATAAGTAAAACAATGTGTGATACACAGGCAAAGAAAGGGTGAATAAAGCAGTTTCATTGTAATATACAAAACCCCAGCAAATATTCCATTAGTAGTGATAGGGCAAAAAAATAATTATCAATGCATTTCTAAAATATGTGCATATATATAGAGGTACAGAGGAGTCTTACAAAAGCAATCTCTCTCTCTCTCTCTCTCTCTCTATATATATATATATATACATATAATCACATGTATACTGCTGTGGCTTGGGTATGTCATCCAGAATGCTTGTGTTGGAAATATGTATGTATGTATGTATGTATGTATGTATGTATGTATGTATATAAGCATTTTAGTAAGGCTTGGGATTGTAGATCAGTGGCAGAGTGTCTGCCTAGCATGTACACGTTTCTCATTTTGATTCTTAGCAAACTCACAAAAACATAGAAAAGAAAAGGAGGAAAGAGGAATGACATTCTAATGCATGGTACAACATGACAGGCCTTGAGAGTGTTATTCTAAGTGAAATAACCAGAAAGGATGAAACCTACTGTGAGTCCTCTTACATAAACTCTTTAGAGAAGCAGAGGAGTCAAAATCCCGGAGCCAAGATGTAGGTGGGTACAGGCAGGGGCTGGCAGCTGTGGGCAAAGGTAGACAGTGCTTCGTGGAGAATTTCCATCTGACAAGAAGGAAGTGTTCTGGAGATGGGTGGTAGAGATATTTGTGTGACAACACGAGTACTTGGCTGAATGACACACTTCAAAGTGGCTGAATAGGTTTGGGGAGATGGCTCAGTTGGCAACGTGCTTGCCACACAAACATGAGGAACTGACTTAACTCTCCATTAAAAAAGCCTGGTGCATGGCCAGTAAGATGGTTCAGTGGGTAAGAGTACTTGCTGCCAACACTGATGACCAGAGTTCAGTCCCCTAGGCACACATAGTGGAAGGAGAGAACTGAGTCCCGCAGGCTGCCCTCTGTCTTCCACACCTTCCCTCCTCTTTATGCAGCTGTGGTGCAGGGTTGGGGGGGTGTCTATACCGTGGCACACATAGAGTATGTGTTCTATGTACATCTTTCCCAGACTTTGTTGCTGCCCATTTTCCAAAGCAATTCTGGGCCTCTGACCATCAAGGCAAGCCATGCTGTGCTGCCTGTGATCTTGTGTTCAACAGTCCTATGATGTCTCAGCATGCCCCTTGTCTTCCCGGTGGGAGCTACCTGCGGACCCCTTTGGGAAACACTGTGGCAATCATCAACACATATGTTCCTTTAGGGTGTGGTGCTCCTCTTCATGGGAACCAAATTATTCATTTAGCTGGTGGGCTTGGAGTCCAAAAACAAGCTTAATAGAAAAATCACACAGTGATCACGATCAGTTTTTTTAACTTTAAATTGGGGAAGCTGTTCTCAACTTCACTGTCTTATCTTTCCCATAAAGATGATTATTATTCTTGATATTATTATTTTACTATTTTAGGTATTGGTGGTTGAACATAGAACCTTATACATGTTAGGTAAGCACTCTACCACTGAGTTATAGCCCTAGTCCTTCTGCTTTGTTAAAATGTTTAGACAGGCTCTTACCATGTTACTTAGGCTATAACCTTGAGTTCACGATTTTGCCCAGGCAGGTCCTCAACTTGTGATCCTCCTGCCTCAGCTTCTTAAATACCTGGAATTACAAGCTTGTGTTACCACCCTCTAGATAATGATTTGGAAAAGTCACCATGGAATTCACATTGGTGGCGTTTAGAGGTGGGGATTTGGAAGATAACGGGGGCTAGAAGGGGTTGTGAGGGTAGAACCTGTATACCTGAATGAAGCAGGAGAAGCAGAAGAGAGGTGCTGGTTGTCTTTCACCATGTAGTGTCTTCTGCCGGCATCCAGACTTTCTAGCCGCCAGAGCATCAAGCTAAAGAAACCTCCATTCTTTGTGGAACGCCCAGTTGGTGCTATTCCGTTAAAACAGCAGATGATGCTCAAAATGATCCTCAAATACATTTTATAACCTCCGTTTAACATTTGGAAAGATTTCCGTTTTTAAATCTGTATTACATTTATTTGCCCCTTCACATGTCTCTGTGTTGTGCACATATGTGTGTGTGTGTGTGTACGTGTGTGTGTGTTGTGTATGTGCATGCATCTGTGTGTATGCACACATTTGATGGTGCACATGGAGGTCAGAGGGCGGTTTGGGAGAATCAGTTCTATCTTCCCACCATGTGGGTCCTGTGGGTTGAGTTCAGGCCATTAGATGTGGTGAGGGTTGCTTTACCTGCTGGGTCACTTTGCTCGCCCAACACTGGTTTTGTAGATAGTAAATCAAGAAGCAAGCGATCTAAACTTTCCCAAGGAAAGTCACTGTGACTGTAGTAGTATCTGTTTCCTTAACAGTTGCGTAGCTGTACTCTCCCTCCATTCCTTTCTCCCTCTCCCTCTTTCTTCCTCTCCCCTTCTCCAGTCTTCCCCTTTCATTTCCTTTCTTCTTCTCTTCTTTTGTGAGCCTTTACACATGCTAGCTTACTGCTCTGATATTGAGCTGGGCTCCTACTCTGTCTTGCCATGGTACTGTTTGTTAAAATGTGTTATTCTTAAGCCTCTTAAAAGCGTTTGGAGACTTCTCAAGCTAGCTTATTGTAATTTAGTCTAATTACTGCCACAAGTTCTTGGTTAATCCATGTCCCTAACTACTGTTAGGTGTTTCTCTGGAGTTGTGAGATGACATTCATGCCCTGACTTTTCCTGGCTGCACTATCTTTGAGGGTCATGCTTCAGAAGTTCTTCCCTTCTTAGCATTTTTGACTTCCCTTGCCAGGCTGTTGCCAGCAGTGCTGGCTTGGAAATCTTTTCCTGTCATCATTGTCCTTTCTACTCTCCTTAGCCCAGTCTTCTACAGCCTTGTTTTAGGGCTCCAGCCCTGGCCTGTCTGTGTTTTACCGCCCGAGTAGGATTTTGCATCTTTCTGAACAACTATTTCATTAGTCTCCCATTTGTCAGCTCATGCCAGTACAATCAATGACTCTGTATGTAGTTTCCAAGCCAAGGCCCTGGGCCTGGTATAATAACATGACGACGATGGCAACGATGATGATGATGATGATAATGATGGTGATGGTGATGATGATGATGGTGATGATAGTGATGGTGATGGTGATGATGGTGATGATGGTGGTGATGATGGCGATGATGATGGTGATGATGGTGGTGATGATGGTGATGATTTTGGTGGTGGTGATGATGATGATGGTGAAGATGGTGATGGTGATAGAAATGCTGACAACAATGATGATGTTGTTGCTAATGATACCAACTTTCCTTTTCTCTTAAGATAAAGGATCTCCTTAAGTTTTATTGAAGACATGAAAACTGAGAAGTTCCCAGCCAGTCTCTTTCTCCAGGCGAGTTCATAAGAGAAGAGCTGTGAGAGGCACCTCAATGACTTCCATTTGAAGGGAAAGAAGAAGCTTGACGGCTCCCTTGGTTCTCGGGACTGATGAGGAAGGGTCCTCCCACTGTCCTAGTACTTTTAATAAGTACTTCCTGGAGCACAGGTCAGCTTCTGCTTCATGTATCTGATCCAAGGCTTTCTGGGTACTCACATTTTAGTTCTTAAAGCCAGGTTAGCATGAATATTGGTGAATTGAAAATTTTTAGGTTTATTTATTTTATGTGTATGAGTGTTTTCCCCCCTCATGTATATATGTGTATCATGTGCACACCTGGGACCTACAGAAGTCAGAAGAAGGCACTGGAGTTATGGATATTTATGAGTCACTATGTGGGTACTAGTAATTACACCTGGGTTCTCTGCAAGGACAACAAGTTCTCTTAACCACTGGGCCAACTCCAACTCTTCAGCTCCTGGAAAAATGTTTTTATTGATTTTAATTCTTTCATGTATATAGCCTGACCATTTATTATTGCAGATGAAAGAAAGTTTTGTATACTAATGAGATGGATGGTGTGATGGTTTGAATAAAAATGGATCCTGTAGACAGGGAGTGACAATATTAGGAGGTATGGCCTTGTTGCAGAAATTGTAGCCTTCTTGGAGGAAGTGTGTCACTGGGGGTGGGCCTTGAGGTCTCAGGTGCTCAAGCCAGGCCCCATGTGGCTCACAGTCTCTTCCTGCTGCCTGCTGATTGGGATGTAGAACTCTCAGCTCCTTCTCCAGCAACATGTCTGCCTGCACACCACCATGCTTCTTGCTAAGATGAAAATGCACTAAACCTCTGAAACTGTAAGCCACCTCAATTAAATTGTTTTCCTTCACAAGAATTGTCATGGTCTTAGTGTCTCTTTATAGCAATAGAAACCCTAACTAAGATTGGTAGCTTCTTCATTTTTACATAAAGAATTAAATATTGGCTGTATTTGCTAATGTAGTATATAGCACATCTTTAAGTTTTATTTTGGAGTTGATCAATAATTAGACTTTATAGTATAAATGCTAAAAATGCTGACTTATATGAATATGTAGAAGTATGTTTTAGGGACATTTAAGAAATGGAAAATTCCATCCTAATCCTAAGGCAAAATTCATTGAACGTTTTTTTAATGAAACTCAAGTCAGCAATTCAAAGAACAGCTTTCAAAATCAAACATAATAAAATCCAGAGATAGACTAATTTGATACTCACAAGCTCAAGAATGATGATAGTAAAACATGAAAAGTCTTTGTTTTCTGTAATCAAGCCATCATGTTTCTGTAAGAGCAGAAAACTTTGCATGTACTGTAAAAACACTATGGTTCATTACAGAATAGGCTGGAAGCCAAGCTGCTGTTTTAGCTGCTCTCACTGGTGTTGTGTGGGATTGAGGCCTACCAAGTGCACGTTCACATGTTGTATGTGCAGAACCAAGGCTGCAGTGCAGTTGTGTGATGGTGACCCGTGGATGGCATGTGTGCTCTGTGTGTGCAGAACCAAGGCTGCAGTGCAATTGTGTGATGGTGACCCGCAGAGTGCAAGTGTGAGCATTGTGTGTGAATAACAAAGTCTGCAGTGCAGTTGTGTGATGGTGACCCTCGGAGTGCAAGTGTGAGAATTGTGTGTGCAGAACCAAGGCTGCAGTGTAATTGTGTGGAGCAAGAAGGAAAAATGCTGCTGGGAAGACCTCAGATTCACTCTGCATTTAATCTGAATTACAGTTTTGGTGGTACCTTCTGAGACCTTTCACAGTTGCCAATTTTTTCTCAACCTCCATTCGATTATGCGGTCCTATGGAAACATTTTTGGTGGTCATCAGTGTAGTATTCCTAAAACAAACAAATAAACAGACATACAGACAGACAAATGGAAAAAATCCCCTACAAACTAAAAGCTCACTTCAAATCCTAGAGATAGCATGTGATATGTGGAAAAGTGTGCTGACTCTGCATTTGGAAGGTGTGACTGAAAGGTGTGGCCCTGACTACAGGAAGGACAATCCCTTGCACCAAGCTGCTGGTCTGGAACACAATTCTTCCCAAGTGGGAGGATAGAAAAACATCTAAACCATTTGTCTCAGCTCTGATCATTTCCACAAAACTTTGGTTTCAGTTCTAATCAATAGGCATTTTAGCTTTGTAGCAGAGGTTAGGGATTTGAAGGAAGGCTTTCATATACACAGAAGTTTCATTTCTGCACTTGCTCCTCATAAGAATGCATAGTTCTGCATCTCTGAACAAATTAAAACTATTCGGGGGCATTCATAGTCTTGCAATTTAGCCATGAAGTTAGGGAAAAGAATAAAACATTCCATAGACTTTGAGCTGGTAGATCACTCTTGAAAGGTGTTAATTTAGTTCTCCAGCTTGGATTTGTTTTGTAGAGAGTATTAATTGTGTGTTGGATAGAATTGGAACATTTAAGGTTTCAAAAACTGGAAAGTCTGATAAACAAATAGTTCCATCACCGCAGAATGCTCACCCTGATTACAACAGTCTGTGTGATCAGAGACAGGCACAGGTTGATGCTCTCTGAATGCTTAGCAATGGCATTTGAAATGATAAGTTCAAATGAAGTGTGCTTTGTCTTCAACAGCTAAATCAAAATTGTGGGAGTACAAATCTTACGCCTTGACCCTCAAGATCACAGGAAAGGGCAGAAGTCCAAACCAGGAAGACTCTTAAATGCTATATCTACTGACTTTATAATGGTTACGTTTAAGGAGGACTTAATTAGGGGTCCATTGCTATGAGCCTGAAAGCAGCTTTACTTGATCTTCTTGGGGTGGGGGTTGTTGGTTGTCTCTGAACCTCTTGTGTTAGCTGAGGGCTGGGGTGTAGGACAGCATAGTGGTTGGGGCAGATCATTTTGCTGCAGTTGTACTTCAGTGAGAGCAGGCACAGGGAAGGTTCCATGATGGTGACCAGCATTAGGTGCAGTGCAGGGTAGACTCTTTATGGATGCTTTAGTTAGACAGAGTGTGGTCATTCTCCAGCTGTTTGTGGCAAATATTGGTCAGTACTGGTCTGGCAGATGCCTTCCTTGTCTTGAATCTTAGCTCTGACATCCTCTAGGATGCCACTGGGCTCAACCTCAAAGGTGATTGTCTTGATAGAGGTTAAGTATTGATAGACTCATTGAAGACAGTTTGGGGGAGTTTTGAGATAATGTTTCATGTATCCTAGGCTGACCTTTAACTTGCTATGCAGCCAAGGTTGGCCTTAAACCCTTAAACTTCCTCTTCTACATCCTAAGAGATAGGATTACAGACATGAATGTCACATTATAAATGATTAATGTCCATTTCTGATTGGATTTAAGGCCTGGTCCATAAGAAAGAATCTATGCCTGACACCTTTGTCTAGACCAAGAAACTGAGGTCATGGGCTATATAAGGGTAACCTGTAACTATCATTCTGCTAAATGAACATGGGGTTAAACTGACCACTAATGACTTGTCCTAGATTAAGCAGCTCTTAACCCTCATCAGAGCAGCCTCTTTCTATAGCAGATATTGCTTAACAGAGAGACCCACAATGGGATGAGTTCCACAGAGCAAGAGACTGTGGAGTCTCAGGTCTCAGGTACATCTGTACCACATCCCTTCCTCCAAAGGCTCAGGTCAGGAATCATCATGGAAAATGGGGCTGAAACATTGTTAATCAAAGGCAATGAATGGCTACAAATGAAACTGTTTTCCTTATACAACTGGGCAGGTGCACATAGGACCGCACAGTGACTGTGGCATTTGGTGAGATTAAGCTGGACAAGTTCTAACATGGATGCAGGAGATGATCATGAAGTTTCACCCTAGCTGAAGAGCTACTAGCAATTTATCCTGTCATTTTTTTCTCGGGATATGCAGCGTGAGAGACTACCCAGTGCTCCAGCAGATGGTCCTAAACCCATGCTCACACAGACAACACTACATGGACTCAGTGGGTTAAAAAACAAACACAAAAACAAAGCAATGAAGCTGCAAGGAAAAAGTGCCTGGGAAGGATGGGAGAAATTATAGGGGAGGAAATGGGGATGGATTCGATCAAAACACATTATGCGTATGTATCCCCCAGGAACTTTGACAACATAAACATTTCTCAAGTCATTTAATCACTGTGAGATTCATACATAGATATGATGTTTTTACTATTTAAGCAAGAAAATCATAGGCTAGGGAGGTAGATGTCTTTTGTAAAATGATAAATGTAGTGTGGCAGGTCTTTCTGGATTCCACATTTGCACTCTGAAACTGTTTACGCCACTGTCTTTAATCACTAATTGCAACAATAGCCTTTTGTTAAAAATATGAGTAATTCATCTGTTATCTTTATTTACATGTATAAATTAAGCCACATATATGTGGAAGCCTGTGCAGGCCAGAGGAGCATGGATGACCCCCTGGAGTTGGAGGTGCAGGTAGTTTTTAGGCATCGGGCATGGATACTGGGAACTAAACTCAGGTCTTGTGGAAGAGTCAGAAGTCCTCTTAACCTTCCAAGCCATCTCTCCAACTCTAACCAGTTAACTCTCTTAGGACATTTGCTCTGTCACACATAATTTCTGAGATGTAGTAATAAATAATGATTAGACATTTCTCTTCTCATGGTTTTGGAGGCCAGGGAGTCCTAGATCAAGGTGCCGACCTCTGGAGCTTGCTTGGAGCCTTCTTGCTGTACCTGCATATGGTTGAATCCTGGAGCTCTGCTTGCACACAGTGGAAGCATCAGTGGCAGGAGCTCTATAACCTGTGTTTGGGCTCCATTTCCAGTCAGGACTGCTCTCCTGAATGTCCCACCTCTTAATCTCTTATTATAGCCCCTTTGGTTATTCAATTCCAACATTTGAATATCGGGGAGTATACTCAGATGACAACATTTTGTTAGATAAAATTTTATTTTATTGTTACTTACAATTTTCTTTGATATCTGTTTTTTTGTAATGTTTTTATTTAAATTAGAAACATAAATGCTTCATTTGTCAGTCCCAGCTCCCTCTCCCACCCCTCCTCCCTTGTACCTCCACTAGTCCCCCAGCCCCCCACCCAATCCCTACATCATTCCCCAGGGAGGGTGAGGCCCTCCTTGGGGGATCTCTAAAGTCTGTCATTTCATCCAGGGCAGGACCTAGGTCCTTCCCCATGTGTCCAGGCTGAGAGAGCATTCCTCTATTTGGAATGGGCTCCCAAGATCATTCATAAGCCATGGTAAACACTGATCTACTACCCAAGGCCCCAGTGATTTATGTGGCCTCCTCACTGGAACTACATTCATGGAGTCTGGATCAGTTCCCTGTTGGCCTTTCAGGTATCAGTCTGGGATTCAAGAGCTCCCCCTTATCCAGTCAGTTGTCTTTGTGGGTTTCATCATCATGGTCTTGACCCCTTTGCTCATCACTCCTCCATCTCTGTCACTAGGTTCCAGGAGTTCAGTTCAGTGTTTAGCTATGGGTATCTGTCTCTGTTTCCATCAGTCACTGGATGAAGGTTCTAGGGTAGCATATAAGGTAGTCATCAACGTTACCATCAAGGAGGGGCATTTAATATAGTCTCTCCACTCTTGCTTAGTTTGCCAGTTGGTGTTATCCTTGTAGATCTCTAGAGATCTCATTAGTGTCAGCTCTCTCCTCAAGCCTATAATGACTCCATCTATTATGGAATCTCTCATCCTGCTCTCCTCTATTCTTACTTCGACTCAACCTTCCTGCTCCCCCATACCTTCTTCTCCCCTCCTCTTATCCCCCTCTCTTTTTCCTGGCTCTCTCTCCCCTCCCCTGATGTTCCCAATGTGCTCTGGAGAACTTGCCTCATTCCACTTCTCTGAGGTATCATGCATCTCTCTTGGGAATCTCCCTGTTTCCCAGACTCACTGGCACTGGGATTGTAGGCTGAGACTCCCCTGATCCTTATCTAAAATCCATATATGAGGAAGTACATACCATGTTTGTCTTTCTGTGTCTGTGTTACCTCACTCAGGATGGTTTCCTTTAGTGCCATCCATTTGCCTGCAAGTGTCAAGATTTCATTGTTTTTTCCCGCCAAATAGTACTCCATTGTGTAAATGTACCACATTTTCTCTATCCACTCTTCAGTTGTGGGGCATCTAGGTTGCTTCCAGGATCTAGCTATTACATATAATGCTGCTATGAACATAGTGGAACAGACATTCTTGTTATGTGAATGGGTGTCTTTTGGGTATATGTCTAAGAGTGGAATTACTGGGTCTTGTGGTAGACTGAGTCCCATTTTCCTAAGGAATCTCCATACTGATTTCCATAGTGGCTGTATGAGTTGGCACTCCCACCAGCAGTGGAGGAGTGTTCCCCTTTCCCCACATCCTCTCCAGCACAGACTGTCATTGGTGTTTTTGATTTTAGCCATTCTGACAGGAGTAAGATGATATCTCAGAGTTGCTTTGATTTGCATTTTCCTAATGGCTAAGGATGTTGAGCACTTTCTCAAGTGCCTCTCAGCCATTTTAGACTCCACTATTGAGAATTTCCTATTTAGTTCTGTAGCCCTCTTTTCAATTGGATCCTTTGGTGTTTTGGAGACTTGCTTCTTGAGTTCTTTGTAAATTTTGGAGATAAGCCCTCTGTCAGATGTGGGGTTAGTGAATATCTTTTCCCAATCTGTGGGGTGTCTTTTTGTCTTGCTGACTTTGTCCTTTTGCCTTACAGAAGCTTTTCAGTTTCAGGAGGTCCCATGATATCTGTTTTTACATAGTTCAATTTGGCCTCAAACTCAGGATTCTCCCACCTGTGTCTCCTAAGTGTTGGGGTGATAGGTATGTGGTATTGATGTTCAGCTTAGATACAATTTTGAAATAACTAAAAGCAACTTTGGGGCATGGGGAATGTCCTACCTTGTTGGGAGGCCCTGCTGGTCAGAGGTTCCAGTCTGCCATAGCTGACCAGGGACAACAAAGGCAATAAACAAAAATCTCTGAGTGCAGTGGGAAAGTGAATTTTTAACCAATGATAAAAGTCCCAGGAAGCCCTTAGGGATTTCTTATTTTAGATTAAGGAGCTGTAATTATAATGTGTGGCATTATTGGAAGAATAGAGAATTAATTCTAGCAGGGATTCCTGTGATTATACATCATTTTTGGAAATATCCATGAATACAAAGTATTCTTGCAAATGTTAAAATCATGTGGTAATGACTTCTATTTATTGAACACATACTATTGGTTAGATTTTGCTGAAACATTTTGTCTAAGTTTTGTTCCTCTGCTATAAAATCTCTTAATATTTCCATCTGTGAACTAAAACACACACAGAGTAAAAATGTCACAGTCATGTTAGATATTCTACAAAGCTAAGTGATTGACTAGAACTCCAAGATTGTGAAGAGTTGGGATGTTGCTGGCTCAGGACCAAATTATCTTGGGCCACCTTTAGTCTCCTTAATAGGTATTCATGGCCACCTTTGTTTCTGACTTAAGATCCTTTGAGTACCAGGAAAAGCTTTTTAGAATGTGCTAACTATGTTCATCATAAGGCGAAGGTGAAGGTTATCCTCAGACAGCAACTGAGACTATGGCACAAGTTTCCCTCCTCTGCTAGAACCTGCCTACCCGGTGTTTGGAAAATGCATGGATTTATGAAATAAACTGATTAACAGGAGAGTTAGGATGAACTGCAGTGAACTCTTGCACCTGGTAATCTTTGCATCTAGACTGTCCCAGAGCCACGTAAATGATGTCGGGTGCTGCCTTCCCATGTGTAGAACACTGGTAGTCGGCAATGTCTGAACCACACTGCCTGATGACAGTGTGAGCTAATACCTCCAGCCCTGGGAACCGTATGATTATGTTGTCAACGGCAACAATAGAAGTCAGTGGTTATGCTGGGCAACCAAATCGACACAGATTGCCCAGGCCTGGAACGTTCTCTCTCTCTCTCTCTCTCTCTCTCTCTCTCTCTCTCTCTCTCTCTCTCTCTCTCTCTCTCTCTCTCTCTCTCTCTCTCTCTCTCTCTCTCGCTATCTCTCTCTCTCTCTCTCTCTCTCTCTCGCTATCTCTCTCTCTCTCTCTCTCTCTCTCTCTCTCTCTGTGTGTGTGTGTTTGGTCAGGGGACTAAGGATTTGCAGAATGCTATAAACATATATATCAATGTAAAGATGAAGCAGGGAAGGCTTACTTTAGACTTTGATTTGTTAAGACGTTCATAGTTGTATTTGTTAACAGTTTTTTGTTCCCTCTCCCTTCCTCTGCCTCTGGTTCCTTCCCTGTCCTTTCCTCCTCCCCCCCTACCCCCTTTCAGCCCTTTCCCTTTCCTCTCCTGCTCTTTCTTGTAGGCAATGTGAGGAGGGTGAGAAGAAACTAAAGCACTGAACCCTGTGGCCGAAACACACAACTCTATAAACCGAAACCAAGATCAGAAACCAGACTAAGCTTGAGGAAGGCAACCTTGATACCTAGAATTTTGTTTCTCTGAGCTTTATTTGTAAATGGGAAGAATAATAAATTTAAAGCCACTCAGGATTTCACCAAGGTAGTGAATAAATGTTTGTAAGTTGATCAAAGGATCAGGAATTCGCTAGAAATCTATCTTGTAAAAAAAAAAAGCAGAAGTGGATAAACCAGGAACTAAACAGCAACTCATTTCTTATGAATCCCCTTGCCCTCTAAGGACCAAAAGAGTAGTATTTTCTCTCTTGGTTCGGCATAATAGAAGAACATGTTATTCAAATCCTGGTTGTGTAAGTCGGGAGAAAAAGTGGCATTTATCATTTAATTAGTTCTTTTGACTCAGCATCCAAAATCACAGTCCAAATTTCCTAATAAGCAGAAGAATGTGAACAAATGATAAAAATCCTGAGGGACACCAGCAGCCTGCATTTTAATCATTGGTAAGATGTTTTCTGCTCTGCTTATATTAGTAGAAACACCCGCCCTCAATGCTTTACCATTTCATTCACTTTGCAGACATAATTGATACAAAAGCCCAAATGTCCGACTTTTTTCCTTGCATGTATTAGCTCTAAGACTGTTTTGACATTTAAGCACATCATGATGCCCCACCTCTTTTGCTAATGCAGTAGTACCTGGTCCCAGGAGGAGAAAGAGAGAATTACTAGTTTGGGCTGGAGATTGGTGTCTGGGTATACTATTACTATTTTGGGAAGGAGATAAATGGTAAAGGCTGCTTGTTGTAAGGATTGTTATCTGGATGGCATTTTAAAAACAAGTGAAATTAGATTAATAAAAATAACTGAGTGGGATTAAGTGGATCCCAAGAGATTGCAGATGAAAAAGACCTGGGGGCTTCTCTTTGTTGTCACAGCTGGCAGAATGCTTCCGCACAACAGTGTGAAATGGAATTCCCTGTGTGTGCAATTTGCTGCCAGTCAGAGCCACCAGAAACAGCAGGGAGAGTTAACGCCCCACAGAACCATCTAGTGACCAGGCACATAGGTAGTGTAAGGCTTAAGACTCAGCATTCCACCCCAGGCCTGGAATTTCTTCCTTATCTGTATCAGACTATCAGGCTGGTGTGTTCTGTAACTTAACCTGCTTCATGTCTCTAGAACCTTCAGGAGGGAGGAAGATGGGTATCCCGATTCCCTCCTCGATCTCAGGTTCTCTGACATATATCTCTGACCTCTTTGGGGATCTGACAGCTCTATGCTTTTTCTACTAAGTCATAGCATGCTGGAGAATGAGACTTGAGTTTGTTGTCTACACACCACACCTTATAGATCAAGTGTCTAGTGCAGGCAGGGGCAGCACCTAGATTTGCACTGATCCAGTTATACTCTATAAGTCTGTAGTTTCTCCATCACCTTGATCATAGGTGAATCTGGGACGCCAATAGCATCAGTTAGGAGTAGGCAACAAGCATGAAGTTAGCTGGGCCAACTCAACAACTGGGCAAGATTTGGTTTCATTTAGTTAAAGTTCTAAGGAGCTGTATCCACTTCGAGAATTTCACATGACCATGAAGCCCTTAATCTTTTCTTCATGCAAGCAAGGACGTGGTCTTGGTGAACAGAACCATTTCTCTAAACTTTCTAGGTAAGGAGACACCGTGGGCTAGTGCCCAGGAAACGACATTGAGTGGCCTAGAGGGTGATGGGCATTGCTCCCTCCTGTGCCCACATTCACAATAGGAAATTTGCAAACTGGAGAGACTTTTGGCAAGTGGAAGTTTTGCACTTCTAATTTTTTTTTATAACTTTTGGGGTATAATAAAGGTCATCCAATTTTTCAGATTCATCCATCTAAACTTTTTTGGTCCATCTGTTTTTGTCCTGGCAGGCACAGTAGTAAATGCCTCATTTCAGAGCTGCTTCACTGCTCTTCCAGAACACGGAGAAGAGAGAGCATTCAGAATTATTATTAATTTCTAAATTAAATGGGCCAGGTCTTATGCTGTCCTAAAAATGGAAACGTTTCCCTCCCCAAACTATACAGGGGGTAAGATTTGTGTGCGCTTTGTGGGAGAGTAGCTGTCAAAGTCTTTGCATGAAAAGACAATTAACTGTTGGTGAAGCTGGCAGTGGGGCCCTGGAGGAGGGGGAGGAGCAGGAGATGAGAGGGTCAGGTTGTGATTCCCTTCGGCAGTCCATGTGGCTCTTTGCTGGCAGAGTGCCCCTCGATGTCAAAGCGAGCTGAGTGTGCCAGAAATGGTGCAGTATGAGGAGAATGCAATCAATGCTGGGGCCGAGCTCTTTGCAGTTTTCTTTCTTTGCCTCTCTCTACTTGTTTTTAAATGAAGACAGTTTTGAAGGCATGGGAACTTAGCACGGGCTAAGCTCCATCAAATTATTTTCAGGAGGCTGTGTCAAGCCCCGAGGTGACATCTTTAGATATGGAATTAAATACAAAGTCAGAGTTGAAAAGGGACAAAGCTAGCTGCATTAACTATTATTATCTGAACTTGGCTGAGTTGGAGCTTTGTCCTCGATGTGGTAAGCTGAGCTGGTCATTTGGAACCAGCTGGAGAAACAAGGCCAGTGAGTCTCAAGGTGCTTGTTCCTGGCTCTGCTGTCAGCTTGCTCTGTGCCCTTGGGAGGCAGACTTCAAACCAGCTTCTCCCCACAGAGAGAGAGAGAGAGGGAAAGGGCGTGTTTGAAAGGAGCCAAGAAAAGTGTGACGTTTAATCAAGCTTTGTAAAGTGTTGCTGGTGCGACTCTCATCATCCTCTGCCTAATAAATGATCTTAATCAGGAGGCTGCCTGGGCAAGGGCTGAAGAAACATAGTAATTAGCACTGAGCAACTCGGCATAATTAAGTACAAATGGGGCCTCAAGGTCATCTGGTCCTGACATTTGCTTCTCGGGGTAACACGATTCTACAGTCTGATAGAACCCTTTCCTTTGGCTTTGCGGACTACTTGGCCAGACGTTGGGAACTCATGTGTCTGGCAATGCTCTTCACCGCATTCAGCTACTTTTTAAAGGCTTTTGCTTGCCCAGGACGTCATGCTAAGTGTGTTGTAGGTACTAACTCATTTGGTTGTTACAACAGACAGGAATAGACGGTTTAAAATAGTGTTTACTGTTCTCAAAGTAAACGATTGCGTTTTTCATATTAATTGGAATAATTTCAAGGTTAGAGAAAAGCTGCAGTTAAGAAACCATTTTTCCCCCTAGAACCATTTGAGAGCAAGCTGCAGTCATGATTTCCCACCATCCCAGAACATCTTATCAAGTGTATTTATCTTAGCAGCCTGCTTCTTCACAGAGACAACGTGATAGCTGTGGAACCCACACACCCTGGGCTGCAAATTCCACTTAGTCGCTATGCCTTTGGAAACCCACCCTGTCTGGACAGTTCTCCTCTTTGCTCTTAATTTTGTGTCCCTGATTTCTGTAAAAAGAGCATGTCAGTTTTGTGATTTTGTTTGTTTGTTTTTAGATTGTGTCTCCTTACATGATCCAATGTGGTCCCCAACTCCTGGTCCTCATCCTTTGGCCTGCTGAGTGCTGGAATCACAGCCTGTCCTATAGGAATAGCTCCAAGTGGTTATACCTCATGGTGAGTTCAGGTTCTGCACAGTCCTGAAAGGAACAGCTAAGGGCTGTGTGCTACCATTGGCTCCTATCAAATGGCACATGGTTTTGTTTGTCTCTTTGCTGCGTTGTAAACTCTGTTGCGTGTATATGTGTGTCTATATATATGGGAGCACAAGCCCATGAGTGTGTAGGTCAGAGGCTGATGTTAGTATCTTGCTCTGTCACTAGCCACTTTATTTTGTGAGACAGAATCTCTTACTGAACTCGGAGCTCATCAATCCACTAGATTGGCGCCCACCCTCCCCGAGAGCCTTCTGTTTTCACTGCCTCTTTGCTGGGGTGAGTCTCAAGCTGCCACTCCTGACTTTATACCTGGGTGCTGAGGATCCAAACTCAGGTCCCCATACTTGTACAACAAGCACATTACCCATTAAGTTACTTTCCCAGGCCTCCTTAATACTAATTTTGTTCTTTGAAGATCCCATTGGGCCTGTTGTAAAGCTCCTCTACTCTGTTTGAAATTAATAAGTATCTGGTGGGGAAGACTCTTGAGATTAAGGAAGTAATTCCCAAGAGATAATGGAGATAATCTACTGTCAAACTTTTACCTATAATTTTGGGGCCATTGAAGTAATGCTGAAGTAATGCTGACCTTCTGAGTTCACATTGATTTTACAATAAATAGTAATAAAATTACAATAATAATAGTCAGATGGCATTTTTTAAAGAAAATCTTTGTCTCCCCATCCATCCATCCATCCATCCATCCATCCATCCATCCATCCATCTATCCATCATCCATCCATTCATCATCCACCCATCCAACCACCCATCCATCTATTCATATCATTAGTGGATCAATACCGAAATTCTTTTCTTTCTCAATGGCTGATAGCCTATTACTATCATTATTCACTGAACATTTGTGGCACCAGATTTATACTGTGAGAATCCCTTTTGTGCTCTCTGGCAGGGCATTCTTTAAGTAAAGGATACTCTAGACTACCTTGTTTTTTCTAGACCAAGCCAGGTTATCAGCTATTTCTGTACAAAGTCCTAAATTCTTTGAATAGTGGAATAATTTCTAGACACTGGTATCTGGGCGCTGGGTAGGAACATTTTCCTTGGGCCATTTCATCTAGGAAATGTATGCAGAGATGTATGTATATACATCTGCGCTTACAGCTATATATAGGCTTACACTTTCTTTCTTCCTGCCTCCCATTATTTCATGTATTTCCTCCTCATATATATATGTATATATACATATATATTATTTTTTAAATTATTTTTTTATTTAGGTTTTATTTAGGTTAGAAACAATCTTGTTTCACATGTCAACCCCTATATATATTGAATTGTGCCAATAATTACTTTGTACCCACTGAAATGTACCAATGCTTCTAACACACACCATCTCTGCACCTTCCACAGGGCTCCAATACACTGTACAGGTGCCATGCTGCTCAGATAGCACATTTACAGGCCAAATGGTTTACAGATCGACTTATTCATA